TAGATCATAAGAGCCAAACCACTTATTTTAGTTAATGGCTAGAGAATGGTAGTTTACTGAATTCCAAGTTTCCAAAGATTTTGAACTAACAAGCAGTAAGGACAGCTTGGAAGGGAGATAATCTGCTTTGGAAGGGAGATAATCTTCTTTGTATCTAGATATTCTTCATGTATTTTACACCAAATACTATGCGGATGCAGAGGCTCAAGTGGTTAAGATGCTGACTCTGTTGATTGCAAGATCGGCAGGTTGGCAGTTTAAGGCCTGGGTGCTGCATGATGGGGTGAGCTCCTGTCACTAATCCCAGCTTCTGCCAACCTAGCAGTTCGAAAGCATGTAAAAGTACAACTAGATAAATAGATACCACTTCAGTAGGAAGGTAAACAGCATTCTGTGCAATCATGCTAGCCACATGATCACAGAGTAGTTTCTGAAAACGTCGGCTCTTCAGCTTAGTAATAGAGATGAGCATCACCCCCTACGATCAGACACGACTTGACAATCTTGTCAATGGGGAATACGTTTACCTTTACCTTATACTATGCAGTGGCTTCTCATCTTAAGAAACTAAATTTTGAAGCTCTAAACCCTGGGACTTTTGTTGCAATCCACATACAGATGGGTGGGTAAAGAGATACAGATGGGTGGGTAAAGATGGGTGTGTAAGAGAAAATGAAAGAGAATGCAAGAAGTTGTTTGTTTGTTTTGAGGGGTGGATGGGAAATAGAGTTTTTAAAAATAAATCTACGGTATTTCTTTCTCTCCAAAGCTCAAAACAGGAATGGGGCTGGGGGTAAAACCATGGATGGTATTTTTCAGCTTCAGCCTGGTAGGACTTTTTAGTACAGACATTGAACTGAATGGCAATTTAGCATAAATGTTAAATTTATGAATTTTAATTGACAATTTAACAAAAATGTGACTGTCAAACACCCCCTTCTAATGTAAATGCAACTGAATTAATTTTTTAGTGTATTAACAATTAACTAAATGCATTTCCTCTCTTGTATTAATTTTCCTGTCTCCAGTCAGATGCTGTTGGACTGCAACACTCAGAATTCCTCTGCATCAGCTATGCTGGCTAAAGCTGCTAGGAATTTCGTCTATCGATATCTGGAGAGACACATCATTTCCACCTCTGGAAAGTTTCCTCATTGATTTGAGGTGAGGTATGTGTGGAGGGGGGGGCAGTGTGAAAACAACTGGGAAGGGAAAGAACTTTCGTATTTGAAATGAGGAAGAAATGGTGGCACTCTTCAAGCAGCATTGCATGAACATGTGGGCATTCCAAGAAATGCTTCCTATCTGAAAGCCTCTCTGTGAAGGGCATCTTGCTGTTTCTAATCAACAGAGGACATTTTTAATGTAAAGAGGAAGCCACTCACTAAGACATATACTCCAGCTGTCCCAATTTGTCAGAGAGAGCTTTGATTAATATTCTGGCATCCCACTTTCTCAACTGCTTTAAAAAGGTCCCCATTTCTTGCTCCTCCTCTCACTTTCCTCTCTTGTCCTTGGCTTACTTCCACAGTAAGACTGAATTCAAGGTTGACTTGCCATTTGTCCCAGAAAACCAGGAAAATCACAGATTGAAGGGACTTGAAAAATGTCCCAGCCAACTGCGCTTGTTGAAGCAGCAAATCCCAGATTCCTCAAAGTAGCAGTAAAACCACTTGAGAAGACTCATCCTGTCTTGGAGGCTCCATGTAGTACCATGCAGACATGCAGAGCCAGAGTCCAAAAGTTAGGAGAAAGAGGAGCAGAAGGCAGGAAAAGAGGTGAGTGGGGAAGCTGAGCCCAGGAGGAGGCCTTTATATGGTGGATGGCTACTCTTCTTGAACCTAAAGCCAGAGAAGCAGCTCCCATGAAACTGCTGACTGCTGGCAAGCATCCCTCCCTCATCTCAGAAGAGTTTGGGACAATGCTCCTCCCTTCAAGCAGCCAAGAAGAGTCCAAATTCCCTTCCACTCTCTTCCTGGCTGCAGGCAAGCCTACCTTTCCCAGTTTGGAAGGGTTAGAGCAGGAGTAGGCAACTTTTCCCCTTTAAGGGCCGAGGGACTTCAGCTCCCAGAATCCCAGGAGCTATTGGCCAACATGGGACTATTGGCCAACATGGCTGAGGCTTCTGGGAGCTGAAGTCCCTTGGCCCTTAAAGGAGAAAGGTTGCCTACCCCTGGGTTAGAGGGGGAAAAAGCCCCTCCCTTTAAGCAGCCAAGAAGAATAAGGGTAGTCTCTTCATCTTTCCACTTTATTTTATGCAATAATCCTTATCCTTATGCAACAATCTCCACACTTTCTAATTAAAATTGATTATTTGGGGTTATTTTTCATTACCTATGAAAACCCACTAAGGATCTCTGCAGACGGGCGGCTCTGGGCCGCCTTGGGAAGCGGTGGATCGGGGATGCAGCAACTCCATGCCACAGCCCCGATCCTCCCTTTTGCCACCCCGAAAAGAGCAGCAAAATGCCACTCCTTTTATGGACAGCAAAAGGCCACCCTAAGAGCCAGTACACAGCTCTTCCACACCTTTTTTGGCACAGCGTGTCAGAACGCTATGCCAGGAGGGCATCCTGATGCCACGCACTGTGCGTAACAGCATACAGTGTCAGGACGGCATCGGTATGGGGTTGGGGTGGCTTGCATGAAGCTGTCCTGCCCCAACTCTACCTCCAGGCTGCCCTTTGGGCCAGTCTGCAGAGGCCCTTAAACCTCTTTTATGCTGAATGATACTCACCCCTCCATTTTTGTCTCTGTCCCTTCCATAAAAATTTTCTCACCAACCCTTGTACACCATGGCAGGACACATTGTTTTTAACTGTTGTATTTGTAAAACACAATGAAAATTTATGGTGTTATATAAACAAACAATTAGGTGGTGGTGGTGTACTGGCCCCAGGCCAGTCCTGCTGCAGCCACCCGCCATGATATTATTGTTGTTATTAATTGTTCTTGGGGTTTTCTTGGCAAAATCTCCACAGGGGTTTTGCCATGGCTTTTCTGGGGCTGAGAGAGTATGCATGCATTTTTTTTTATTTTATTTTATTAATTTTATTTTCATATTTATTTATTTATTTATTTTTGGTGCTTCGGCCCCCCAATTGTCTGAGGGACAGCAACCCGGCCCCCAGCTCAAAAAGGTTGCCTACCCCTGCTTTAGGCAAAAACAAACTTGCAGCCTCTCCTGGCTTGTGCAATTTTCCTCCCAAATAACTTTAGTCATCTTGACCACACTCTGATGTTCCTTAGCCACATGTGTTTCAGTTTACATCTGTGAAATGTTTGGTGGTATGGTAAGATTAACTAAAACTCTGCCCCATTCCAGATGAAATTTTATTGGAGTTTCTCCTCTAAAAGAGTCAGAAAAGCAATGGCTCTTTCTCAGAGAGAGGATAGTTCTGCAGAAGCAGGAAGCAAAGTTGAGTGTTAATAGGCACATATGCATGTGTGTGAGTGCATGTGTGCACGCTCACACTCACAGAGGATTGAAATATAATCCTTAATCAGGACCTTTGAAAGGCCAGATGGAAAAATGGCAAGCTAATACGCTCAAACCCACAATAAATTATCTCCTTCATTGAGTTTGATGGAACAATCAATTTGGTCATTGGAACTGGATGAATTTCAGATGAGCAGGGTGACAGGAATTCATTCAGTGCCCTGGGAATCACTGAAGAGGTCATAGTGCACATTGACAATGGAATGAATTTAAACAGGGTGGAGAGGTAGGACAGAAATCATGCAGGCAAAGAGACTGAGGAGTGGGAAAGAATGGAGTTTCACAAAGGCCTTCAAGCTGTCCTGTCAAAACCAATGTTTTAAAGTTAATCAGTCACCTCTACTGGTAAACTGCTGAGAAAACTTTTTTTTTAATCCAGTATCTTCTTCCTTGTTGTCTATGGATGTTATCACACGTGGGCCAGAAAGCAAAAATAAAGTGGAAATGAGGCATTCTGAAAATAAATGGAAAATAAACCTTAATTCCGTAAACGTCATTACCTTAATTGTGAATTTACAGTAAGCGCATTGAATGTCCACACACAAGTGAAAAAAGCCCGTAAATGTACTAGAAATGAGCTTCTTGCACATGCGCAGATAGAGGAATGCTTGCTGGAACAATGGGAAAAGCAGGGAAATGCTCCAAAATGCGCATTTGGTTATCACATTACGGTAAATGTGAAATTACCTTAATTGCGCATTTGCATTTCCTCCAAACAACCGAATTTCAAAAGCTTGCGGTTAACACCAGTTTCTGTCCACTTTCTGTCCAGTTTCTGTGCAACGTTGTGTGAAAACACGAGGCACTAATCCAGTTTCTGTCTGGGTTTTGTGTGGATTAACCAGCAGATTTGTCCCCGTGTGATAACGTCCTATATGAAATACACTTCTTTGGGGACACCTTGTTATTGTGTGCCTTAAAGTTTTTTTGACTTAGGGCAACTCTATGGCAACCCTATCATGGGAATTTCTTTGCAAGATTTGTTCAGTGGAGGTTTGCCTTTGCCTTCTTCAAAGACTGAGAATGTGTAACTTGCCTAAGGTCACCCAGTGGGTTTCCATGGCTGAGCAGGGATTTGAACCCTGATCTCCAGAGTCATAGTCCAATGCTCAAACCTCTATCCTACACTACACCTAACTGAATAGTATTTCATTTATAAGATAAACACCTATACCAGAAAACTCAAACCAACATTTTTCTGCAGGAATCAGTATTGTGATTTTGTATTCCCTTCAAGTCAATTCTAACTTATAGGAAGCCTAAGGTGGACCTATCACAGGGTTTTCTTGGCCAGGTATGTTCAGAATTGATTTTCTATTGCTTTCCTCTGAGGGTAAGCGTGTGATTACCCTAGTCAGTTTCTTTGACTGATTCGGACCCTGGTCCTCTGGAGTCCTAACCCAGCATTCAGACCACTACACCATGCTGGCTCTCAGAAATCAGTAAAAAATATTGTTTCCTGAAAAAAATATTCCTGTTTGCACAGAATTGTTTCCTGCCCCAAAATGCATTTTCTGCACAGAAAAATTGTCTGTACCCTTGTAGAAACACAGAGTTCCAAAGTACAAACAGTGCTTAAATTTTTCAGAGAAACCCTTGTATGTTCATAGAGCAGGGGAGCAATGTAATGAAGGCTGCATCTACTCTGCAGAAATATTCCAGTTTGACACCATGGCTTGATGCTATGGAATTCAAGGAATTGTAGATTTGGTGCCACAACAAACTACAATTCTCAGAATTCCATAGCATTGATCCATGAAAGTTAAAGTGGTGTCAAACTGAATTATTACTGCAGTGTGGATGCAGCCTGAGTAATTATTTCTTTTGAAAAGAAATGAAATACACATACCCTTAGTCTTTAGCAATCAAATCAGTAGACAGTTTTTTTCATGCAGCAAGTGGTTAAACTTTAACTCTGACCACAGTAAGGACGTTATCACACGTGGGCCAGAAAGCGATAATAAAGTGGAAATGAGGCATTCCGAAAATAAACCGAAAATAAACCTTGATTCCACAAATGGCTTTCACACGTAATTATCTTAATTGTGAAATTACAGTAAGCGCATTTAACGTTCACACACAACTGAGAAAAGCCTGTAAATGTACTAGAAATGAGTTTCTTGCACATGCGCAGATAGAGGAATGCTCTCTGGAACCATGGGAAAAGCAGGGAAATGCTACCAAATGCTCATTTGATTTTCACATTACAGTAAATGTGAAATTACCTTAATTTCGCATTTGCATTTCCTCCAAACAACCGAATTTCAAAAGATCTCGGTTAACACAAGTTTCTGTCCACTTTCTGTCCAGTTTCTGTGAAACATCGTGTGAAAACGCGAGACACAAATCCAGTTTCTGTTTGGGATTTGTGTGGATTAACCAGCAGATTTGCCCCCGTGTGATAACGTCCTAAGAGAGGGAAGGGTTACACCTTCCTTTCATGTGTGCTCTTGTTTTCATGAAACTGATGCTCTTATTCACTTTTTAAAAAACTGATGAGATTGCTAAGATAGTTGTAGCATCTAGTGTGACCCTGAGTGAAACTGCCTCAATTTCCATTATTTTCAAGCATGGGACTGGACATTCCACACTGATACTGTTGGGAGGGTGGAATGCATACTACTAAATAAAACTGGCATAAATACCTCCCACCATTCTCCAAACTGTGAATCTCCTGGAAATGCTTCTTTCTCTTCTCTTCTCTTCTCCCTTCCTTCCTCTTTCTTTCTGGCATTTTTCTCTTTAAAAAAATAGCTCTATGTAAATTAGACTGCAAAATGGCATAAATATGAATCTCTCCTTGCAATTGTGATTGACAATGTGTTGGTGAAGGGCAGAGTCTAATGTGATCTTGCCATGAGACCACAAAACTAATTTCTTTGGTGATACTATCCTGACCCTCAGCTAGAGGAGAAATGCTAATGCATTTATCTACATCACTAATGCTGCTATTCTAATTTCATATATTACCAAGAAGATAAATCTCTCAGTACACCCAGCATAAATAACATACTTTGCTGTGAATTTGCTAATAAACTAGGGAAAATTAACAGAGGCCTTGCTAGTAGCTTCCTATTAGAATATGAAAGCTCTTTATTATTTTATAAAATGTAATGCAGCACACATCTCTGGACAATCTATTGCACTAATTTCTCAGAATGCCTTGGGACAAGCAATAAACTCAGTATGTTGTCTGGCATGGATTGCCATGTGCTCTTAATTTTTAGGAACTGTTTATGCCTTTTATCCTGCTTTTCACAATCTACTGATGAGATGAACATGCATAATTTGCCAAAGTAAAAGATGGAAACCATATATCTGATCTTGTTTATTTATTACATTTCTGTCCTTCCTTTCCACTAAATACTAGGGTTCAAGGTGACTAAGAAGCATTTATTTGTTAAAAAAATGGGAAAGGATGTAATTGTTTAAATCTTTATAATATAATAATCAATTTAAATGGCTCAATTGGAAATATGTGTTTTCATGCTCTTCCCAAAGGCAACAAGAGGTTGCAACTGCAAAAGGAATGAATTTCAAATCTGGAAGCAAGCCATGAATAAATTTGCTTTATTTTTATTTTTTAAAAATAAGCAGAATATGCATAGTAATAATAATAATAATAATAATAATAATAATAATAATAATAATAATATGCGCATTAGATACCCAGATTTGAGAAGCTGCAATATGACAATCTTACACAAAAACGCCCCTTGCCAATATTGCTAATTGGAATTATGGGATAGTATAGGGTCAAGGAATATTTCCATAAGTCCAGTCAGCCCTCCATTTTTGCGGGGAATCCATTCCAGATCCATGGGGGCACACCCCATTTATTGTAGCAGAGGTCACCCCTCCATGAATATGCAAAACTGTGGACTTCAAGTCTGCAAGAATGGAGGGATGATTGCATTCCCTTCAGGGGACACAGAACTCTTTCCAGAACCCTATCTCTGTTTTGTTTTTGTTTTTTGCTTCATTTATATACCGCTTCATATCGCACTATGGGATGTCTAAGCAGTTTACAATTGTAAGCTCATTGCCCCCCAACAGTTGGGTACTCATTTTAGTGACCTCGGAAGGATGCAGGCCTGAGTCTAGCCTGAGCCCTGGCTAGTATTGAACTCGCAACCTTGTGGTCTGTGAGTGGCTGCAGTACAGACATTTAACCACTGCGCCACCAGGGCTCCTTGTTGTATGCCTTCAAATCCTTTGCAACTTATGACAACCCTAAGACAAATCTATCATGGGCTTTTCTTGGTAAGATTTGTTCAGAGGAAATTTGTCATTACTTTTCTCTGAGGCTGAGAGCATGTGATTTGCCTAAGATCACCCTAAGGGTTTTATGACCTTGCTGGGAATTGAACCTTGGTCACCAGAGTGATAGGCCAACACTCAGACCACTAAACCACACTGGCTCTACCCTGTCTCCACCTACCCCATAATATCTAAAAACAATATAATGCTTATTTTAATGAAAAACTGGCTATTATATATGACTGAATAGAAGGAAAGATCCCGAACTGGAAATATTGACTATATGTTAGAAAATGCCTATCTAATGTGTTGAATAATGCAAGAGGTCATTGAGAATTCTACACCTCATAAGATAGAACATGTGTCATCAATTTCTCTGCTCATGCAGGGACAACATGGAAAGGAGTCAGTATTTCAGATAGCCAGGTCTCAAACTGTGTAGAGATAGTAACACTTTCACCAGCACCATCAGAGGGGCCTGGGAGCAAAGTGAGAGCCCATATAAAATTGTTATAATGTGGTCAAAAGAGAGCATTCACTAGCAGAGCAAAGGAGAGAAAAAGGAAGACAGTCTCATTTGAAATGATCTTGGGCAGTAGACCTAAGGAGAGACACCTGGTAGGAAGCTGCTGCCAGTTAAATTACATAATGCTGGGTTAATAGGCCATTGCCCTGGCTCAGGGTAAAGCAGCTTCATATGTTCTAGCTCAAACATCTCGGGCAACAAGCAGTGACATCTCCACACCTGATGTCACCCAGTGCAGTAGGGGCTGATGGGGGGGCAGTGGACAAACAGGTGCGCTTTTCCTTCTCTTCTCCTCTCCTTCACCACAGCAGTAGCCTGCTCTTCAGTAGGGAGCCACTGACACAGTGAAACTCAGAGGGGCACACTATAGCAATAGCAAGTACAATTCTATCAGTGAACTAGCACTCCCTAAGCAGTTTCAATGTGTAAGCCAATTGCCCCCAACAAGCTTGGTACTCATTTTACTGACGTATGAAAGGATGGAAGGCTGAGTTAACCTTAAAGTCCTGCCTGAGATCAAACTCACAACATCATGGCTGCAGTACTGGCATTTAACCACTGTGCCATCAGGGATTCCTAGCCCCTTCTCACACCACAGCAGAAGGAGGACCCAACTGGGTTCCAACTGACTGGGTCAGGAGGAGGGTCTGACTGAGGTGTCACCTAGTGCAGGCCACACTCCCTGCACCACCACCATCACCACCCCACTGGCAACAAAGCTGGGAAAGATATATACCTGAGAGTTGGTGCCCCACTCAGAACAGAGGGCACTAGGCTGGAAAGAACAATGGTATAACACAATATAAAGCCACTTAATTTGTTCACATGTACTGTATATATCTTATATAAAACATGTTTTAGGGAAAATTAGTTCAACCAGATTTGCTTCTTGACCAAGATGTTTAGGACGGCAGACTAAATGTTTCAAGGGGGTTCTGGGTTAGCCTGTTGCAGTCAAAGCAACAAAGAACCTTGTTGTACCTTAAATTCTATCACTGTTTTATTTGGCATAAGCTTTCATGGAATGTAGTATCTGTTGAAGTGGGCTGCAATCCACAAAAGCTTATGCCAAATAAAATCTATTCAACTTTAAGAGGCCACTCTTGTTTAGGCTAAATATCATTTTGAAGAAAACTCTTTCAACATTCTCACCAGAATCTGAATCACCAATGCTCAATGTTTTTAATCTTGGTCTCTTGCTAGTGGGCTATTGGGGGAATGGATTGTTTGTTTTATCTTGTAAGCCACCTCGGTTGTTTTTACAGAGAGGCAGGATATAAATAAATTGTTGTTGTTATTATTGTTATTGTTATTATTACTCACTCTCATATAACACCCTACATTCCTAGAAATTTGCCTTGAGTCCTTAACTTCAGCTGTCACTGAGTGAATAATACCTGACTGTGATCCCAAAATTACATGATCATTCTATTTTCAGGCATAAAGCAAATACCTAATGTGGAATGTGGGAATAGCTGGGAGAAAGAAATAATTTTCAGTGAATCCAGCCCAATAAACAGCAACCAAATCGCACATTTGCTCACAATCCAAGGGAGAAATTTTAAACATGGTTTAGATAATGAGGAGGATTTGAAAAAAAATAGGCCTTTCAAGGTTGAATATATTGAAACGTTCTCTTTTCCAATCTGCTCTGATAGATAAGTTGTATGGGATATTCTTGTCCCTGCTCTCCCCTATCCCAACCACTCAGGTTAGAAGATGATACTAGACTTCAATATGAAAAACAATTTAAAAACCAATAATTTGAAAAATGATTCCATAAGTGTAAAAATAATTTAACTTATCACAAAGCTGAGTTTCCTGAATACATCCCTCTGCAGTCTCCCTTTCAACAGCTTTCATTAAAAGTCAAGCTATGTAATAGACCAAATTCAAAGCATTCAGCTGACCCTCTTTTTCTTTTTTTTTTTTTTACCTTCAAGGCAGTTCAAATCTAGATTAGGTCTATTGCATGCAGGTAGGGTAGCATGAGTTTCCTTTCCTCAGATGTTTGTTTTCCTAAATTTCTTACTCCTAATCTCCTCCACACATACACATACACACACACAAACACGGAAACTAAAAATGCCACTAGAGTGAATTTAGGAGATTTTATTGCTAAATGGGGAAGGTTTCAGTTCAATACCAGCCAGGGCTCAAGCTTGGTTCAGGCTTGCATCCTTCCAAGGTCACTAAAATGAGTACCCAGCTTGTTGGGGGCAATTAGCTTACAGTTGTAAACCACTTAGAAACTGCATAGTGCAGTATGAAGCGGTATATAAATGAAGCTGCTATTGCTATTAAGCTTCCCCTAACAGCATATGATGATCTCAGTCTGAATCAGGGCTTTGAACAAAACAGAAAGAGGGTCCACGGCACTTTTAATTTATCACAGTGATGGCAAACCTTTTAGAGACCAAGTGCCCAAACTCAAAGGCATTCCCGCACCAGGTGTTACCCAGTGCCAGGGGACAGTACTTTTGCCTTCTGGGGGCAGAACTTCCAGGGGTAGGACTTCCATGGAGACAGCTAAAGGCCCAGGAGGGCAGGGAGAAGAGGAGGAACAGGAATTCATCTGTTCCTCCTCCTGTCTCTCTGTGTGACTGCAGAAATTGCTTCATGTGCCAGAGAGGGCACATGTGCATAGGTTTGCCACCACTGATTTATCATATACCTGGCCTCTTTGTGAGATAAGGCATTTGTAGAAGGAGTCTTGTGTCTGATCAGAGGCCTATGTGAGTCATAGTGAATGGCAATGTGAGTGTGCATGTGTGTTCTATAGCCAAAGACCTCCAAGAATTATGGCAAGAGCTACAGAAAGATATTATTTGGATGGTTGAGGTCCCACCCATAAACCACAATATTTATGCTTGAATTTATGCCTGCATAAACCACAATATTTATGCTGGACAATAGAGAGACTTCATGCTGCCTGCCAAGAATTTGAAGTTGCAGACATTCACCCTGGTCTTTAAGGAGTCCCCAGCACAGGATTGGTATGGTAGGTAATGTTACCCCAGGGTCCAGCCTCTCTTCATCCCCTTCTTTTCAGATATTAAGTTGATATCAAAAGGGATTTTTGAGGCACGTAGCTGTGAGGGTGCCCCCAGTACAAGAACATAGCCATGCTATATAAGGAGATCTGGGATCATACTTGGGGATCCAGGAGGCTCAGCATGAGAGAGCTCATGTAGCCATGGATTGATCAGTCAAGATTGAAATCTGCATAATCCCTTCACCAGTAGAAGTGATGGTGGGTGATAGAACTTGTGTTTACAAGTGAACAGAAATACAAGTACAATTCCATTTGGAAGTGATATTCCTTTGTCCAAGGATATTTGCACTGATTGTCTGGCCATTACCAGCTTCCCATTCTTCTCTCTGAAATCTACCTTTTATCCCAAATCCTGTTCTGGGACAGGTTTTCTCTATAAATATGCCTGCTTAGGCACCAACAATTTGATAGGCTCTTTGTCTGTATCTTGCTTGACTCCTCAGTCATGCCATGATCCCCAGGCAGCTTGCTGAGTCATTCAACTTCATGGTGTTCCCCCAATTCAACTATACTACTGGAATCAGTATAATATTGTCCTCTGAACCCCCCCCCCAACTCACTGTTTGTTGCCACCTGTTTGTGGCTCAGGGATTAAATGCCTGTACTGCAGCCACTCACTCATAAACCACAAGGTTGCGAGTTCAGTACTAGCCAGGGCTCAGGCTTGACTCAGGCCTGCATCCTTCCAAGGTCAGTAAAATGAGTGCCCAGCTGTTAAGGGGCAATGTACTTACAGTTGTAAACTGCATAGACACTGCATAGCACAGTATGAAGCAGTATATAAATGAAACTGCTTTGCTTTGTTATATCATTCGTTCTTGAATGTGTGTGAGAGAGTGCCTTTGCGTGGATGGTGACTTCTTCTAGTTCATAAATAAAACTATTTGGAACTTGCACTCTGGAGTTTTGTTTCTCAGAGCCAGTATATATAGGCTTGGTCCTCACTTTGAGTTGCCCAAGGCTGTTTTTAACTGAGCTAATAAAATTCCCCTATTGAGTAACAATTGTGGATGCCCTCCTGAGACCCTAGTGTTTTGGGTAACAGTAACACCTGCTGAGCCAATAGACTAGAAATGTTCAATGTACATACCAATCCATAAGGAAGGATTGCAGCAACTATAGGACAATAGCATTAATCTCACATACAAGCAAAATAATGCTCACAATTCTGCAGCCATACATGGACAGGGAAAATCCAGAGGTACAAGCAGGATTCAGAAAAGAAAGGACACTAGGGACCACACTGCAAAAGAATTTAAAAAAAGAATCAGCATGTGTTTCATAGACTACAGCAAAGCATTTGATTGCATAGATCACAAAAAACTATGGAATGCACTCAAAGACATGGGGTGCCACTACATCTATTAGTCCTGATGAGGAATCTGTATCAAGGACAAGAGGCCAGCATCAGAACAGAATTTGGGGAAGCAGAGTGGTTCCCAATAGGTAAAGGAGTCAGGCAAGGTTGCATCCTATCATCCTACTTGTTTAACTTATATGCTGAAAGCATCATAAGAAAAGTAGAATTAGAAACAGAAAAAAGGAGGAATTAAGATAGAAGAAAGCAACATTAACAACCT